CACTCACACTCACTGACAGACATACACTCACTCACTGACAGACACACAAACGGACACTCACTGACATACATACACTCACTCATTGACACAAACACACACACAGACACTCACTGACAGACACACACTCACTCACTGACAGACAGACAGACACACACACACACACACACACAGATCCTCACTGACATACATACACTCACTTACTGACAGACACACACACACACACACAGGTAGACACTCACTGACAGACACACACACACACACACACATACACACACACTTACAGTCAAACACTCACAGACTCACTGACAGACACACACACACACACACACAGGAAGACACTCACTGACATACATACACTCACTCACTCACTGACAGACAAGCACACACACGCACACTTACTGACAGTCAAGCACAGTCAAACACTCACTGACACACAGACTCAGACATCCAGCCTCCCTGGGGTCCAGTGTGGGGCAGTTCCTCACTCCTCCAATGCGCTGTTTAGTATGCTGGGGCTGGAATGGTGACATATTCCGGCTCCCGGCATCACAGAGGGTGGCAAGGGAGGAGTGGGAAGCTGCAAGAAGAGCCTACCTCGTCGCCCACACTGCCGCTGACTGCCTCCTCTCCTCCGGCATTCATTGCTCTGCCATACTGAAGCACAGCTATGGGGCCCGCCCTGAGGTGGCCACGTCTTGTTCCCCCTGTGACAGGGCTCCTCTCAGCGCCCCCAATTTTCGGCCGCCTGGAGGATCGGCCCGGTGCTGAGGGGGGGCGGCTCTAGAGCCGCTCACCCAGCGCCGTGGCCCCAGTACAGGGGGAGCCCACCAGGAAATATCCCGATGGGTGCCCGCAGCATGCTGGCGCCCTAGGCGATAGTTTGCCTAACGGTTGCGCCGGCCCTGTGTGGAGCTCTGTGATGCACTCATACACTCTGCACATTATACTGTTTCTTTGCTGCACATGACTGTGAGTATTAGTGTATAGCTGTGGAGCTCTGTGATACACTCAAAATCACTGCACATTAATGCGCGTATTATAGTATAGCTGTGGAGCTCTGTGATACACTCATACACTCTGCATGTTATACTGTGGTTTTCTTCTGTGCTGTGGAGCTCTGTGACACACCTCATACACACTGGACATGACTGTGAGTATTATAGCTGCAGAGCTCTGTGATACCCTCATACATCCTGCATATTTTAGCTGTAGATCTTTGTCATACACTCCTCATATTATACAGTGAGCATTTTTTGATATGTTTACATAGCCTGCATGTTACATTGTGTGTTTTGTTTGCTTTGGAGCTGTGTAATATTTACACATTACTGTCAGATTAACATGTGGGTGCCAAAAATGTAACAATGACTCCTAAAGAGAGACATTTAAAGTATGAAACGTTCTAAAATGCTGTAGGGAACGTCACTGGCTGAACTAACAAACATAAAATCAGTCTGTTGTGGTGTTGGTACAATCATGGACGATGTTAGTTATATTTGCTCAGACACAGTATTTACTGAAAAATCTGTTCTACCGTCTTTCCCTCTCATTGCTGAAGGATTCAAGTTGCCCTGTGCTGTAACATTACAGCTAAGCTACTTATAGCATACTTGGAAAAACTCCCCAAATCCTGTTAATTTTCCACTGACTCATCTTGATCAAGTCTGTTCCATATGATTTCCTTTTCCTGTGCTCTAAGTGATGCAGCCGGTGGGATTTCTGTTGCGGGACCACCCTGGTATAGTGGGTCTGCCAATAGTTTTTTCTAATCCATCACCCAGACTGATTTGCTTAAGTTATTAAATTAGTTTTGCCGGTAAAAAAGAATGAAACCTGTTCACATCGAATTTGCTGCATCTTCTTCCAAGATATGCCCACATTGAAATTCTCGCATTGGCTTTGCAACTACTAAAAGTAAATCCTTCGCAGACTAGGAAGGAATGAGCCGATCATCCCAAAAAAAGACTTTGAGAACTGGGCCTAGAATGGAGTTAAAGTTTCAGTGTAATTTTCTTTTTTGTAGTCTGACGGAGGCGGACCAGCGCAGAAAGGGTTACTCTAACCAAAACCACTGTTTTACGGTTGGCATAATACTTTAACGTCCCTTTTCTCCTCTATGTATTCTATTGTTCCAAGTACTGTTCTGAACTATTCCTGCTGTACAGTACATTGACCTGTGGTTTATATAATGTAAAAATTACGCACAGAGAAAGTTGCGATTCTGTCTAACAAAGGCCACATTCATACATTGTTTACAATAATCACAGATGAAGATGGACTTTTCTTGCTCCGGAACAAAAACTCTACAGACATTGCTCGGTCTTTGTCTCTGTAACGATGGCTCAGCCTTGTCAGAGGGGCCCGTTGTGCTGTAAACTGCTGAGCGTTAAGGAATATAAAGCTGGGAATTGTTCTAAAGAATCACTGTATATTTGTTTGGTAACACTCCATAGCAACTAGAAAAAATAAATTGTATTAGACAGCAAAGGCTTTATTCAACGCTCAGTATAAGCTTTCAAATCTTCAGTGAAACCAATTAAAAAACAGTTTTGACACAAAGACACACTGTAAATAAACAGTTAATGAGACTGGCGGTTTATAAAATGTGATCATGCTTAAAGGGTTACCACCGTGTTTGATTTGAAGATAAATTGAGTGCTTATGCTCGCTAATTAATCATGTGACCTGTTTGCTTACCATACCCTACACCTTGACATTATTTGCAGAATGTATTCTACAAATGGAGTTCTACAAAGAATTCAGAATCTTGAGTTTAATGGATAACAAGGCCATTTTCTTGCCACTACAGTGCCCCACTCTCCCACAAACCTCCCCCCCACCCCCTCCTGTCAGTCACTAACCTGAATCCAGCGCCAGGCAGGCTCTTCCCATGCTCCTTCCCTGCCAACATCAGCCAGTGGGGGAAGACCTTATGCGCATGTGCGGCAAGTGCCGCGCTCGCATTATGTTCCCTACAGGAAAGCATGGTTTTAATAGCATGAGGACGTCAAGCATCATTTAGATGACTTTTGGTCGCCTGACTACCCAGAAGTCCCTCTTGTGGCTGTCTGGTATATCAGCGTAGAAGGTGATTTCCATCTGTTCTAATTTATACAGCCTCTTCCCTCTGGTGGCGTTCAAGAGGGCTGCCTTATCTTGCCCAATTAAAAATTTCACAAGTACGTCTCACAACGTCAGGGTCTTGGTGAACTGAGGAGTGGGCAGGCGGAACGTGCCATCTAGTTGAATGCCCTTTGCTGGTTTTGCAGGCAGTAAGGCCATAAACAGCCTTCTTATGCATCTCTGCCATAGTGATGCCCTTAGCTATGCCCCTGATCTTCCGCTGTTTCTACCGCCTTTTATCCTCCATGGCCGCCAGTTGGTTATCAAAGGTGGTCTGGGCAGCAGTAATATCCCTCACCTGTCTCTGCAGATGTGAGATACGTGCAGTATGTGCCACAGTAGTTTGTTCCAATGTTGTTAGTCTCAACGTGAAGCCCGACATCCTTTCTCACTTGAGAGATATCGGCTGAGAGGCTTCTACGGAGGTCAGCCAGGAGACTTGTTAGGATCTCCGTGGTTACAGGGAGCGGTGTACCTTCAGCCACAGGAGGTTTAGGAGGTCCCTGATAGTGGAGGTCCTCTGTGTTGTGCAGGGGAAATTCCTCCGAGGCATCGCAGAAATCATCTAGATCGGCCACCATGTTTGGCCCAGTCACGGCATGCAGTCTCCAAAACAGCTCTCCAATGTCGACAGAAAACACGGAACGGTCTGGTCTCTGCTTTATGTTTTTTCCCCCCATCTTCCAGTAGGCAACTCCTGATGGTACAGTTTGTGGGTCGTAAAAGTCCCAGGTGAATAGGTTTATTCACTCGTCCGACTGAGCTCTGCAGGCATGCGACCGCTCCAGTTGTGAGTTAGCTCTGCCCCCCTTCTTACTGGTCATTCTAATTGGCATTAGTGTGATCGTAATGCCTGCCTGTGGGCTTGGGTAGTCACAGGATGTCAGACATTCAATTCAGCAATACGCATATTGGTTTGGACTGTGTTTGTTTTCCTTGCACTCATTGCTGGACTTGTTAGAAGAGGTGCGGCAAACATGCTGATGATAACCTGTAGGGCCAGTTCGACACGAGTTCAGAAAAATAAATTAACCTTTGGAGACAGCTTTGCATTTTCAACCGCATATGTGAAATTGCAGATAATGGCCAACTAAGCAACTCACACTCTTTGAACTGTAGAAAGTGCCATACATGCCAAATAGATGACTTGTACGGAAGGAAAGAAAGGTGAAGAGGAAATTATTAAGGTCACAAGGAGATAGTTAGAAGGCACAGATTCCCGGTAGCTCATAACACAAGGGACAGAATGTTGTAATCCTGTACCTTTGTCTTCTTCATAAGTGTTTCTTTATGGGCGAGGAAACTTACTGTGTAGTTGGTGGCATGAAAGGTCAGGGAAAGAATGCAATGCTAATGGTGGATCAACTGGTCAATGGAGAGGCGAACAAATCCAAACCTTCGAAAATCACACCAGTCAGGACTAAAAGTAAGACAGTGTCTTAAAAGTCACACTTATGGGGCGTGGCTAGGCATGGAGAGAGATGGCCGCATGAGCTCTTGGCTCCGCACCACGAGCAAGGCAATAGCTTTCTAAAGTGAGAATCCTGCGGGAAAACAACTTATGCTCCGAAGATGTCGCAACCCAAAACCCGACGGCATCAAGACAAACCCGACAAAATGAGCTTCTTCGCTCAGAAGAAAGGAGCAGCTCTGGCAAAATGAACAGACACAGCAGGCCATCAAGATGGCGCCGACCACTCAGGGGGGAGCAGCCCAAGATCAGAGGCGGAATCACAGCATGATGGAGAACCGCTCACGGCTGCCTTCCTAAAGAGAGCCCTAGACGAACAGTCACGAAGGCCTGGCAATCCAGCGTGGCAGAACTCAAACGGGACCTCCAAGATGTCGGATCTCGCACAACGCACGTGGAGGCCAAGATGGAAGATTTAGTCGACGCGCACAACGCGTCCGCAGAGCACTTAAAATCCCTCACAGACCAGATCCAGAAATGCGAAGCAAAACTCATGGACCTAGAGGATCGATCTAGAAGGAGCAATATTAGGCTGAGGGGCATCCCAGAGACGGTCCTCCCGGCGGATCTACCCAGTTATGTACACAGCTTTTTCAAGCTCCTGACCCCAGAAATACCCACAGACATGCTGCTGCTGGACCGCTTGCACAGAGTCCTTAAACCTCAACATATTGCCACGTCCTTACCCAGGGATGTGTTATTGAAAGCACACTACTTTCATGTTAAAGACCTCCTGATGAGGAGAAGCAGAACCGTGAAAGACCTACCAGCTGAATATACAAGCATTAAAATGTTTTCAGATCTTTCAGCAGCCACCCTGAAACACCGGAAAAACCTTCCAACAGGTGACGGAAACCCTACGCGCCAACCGTATCCTGCAAATAACTGTTAATTTTTATGCCATTTTATACTTGTTTATATCGTTTGCAGGGTGTACTAGCAACATTGTAATGTATATGACCTAACTGTTTATCTGTTACTGTTACATGCCACCTCCCAGAAACATGCTTAACCCCTGGCCACACTCTATTTGACGGTTGCCAAGGACCGATAATGTACCCCCTAAGCCAGGGACACCAAACGTAATATGGCGGACGACTCACTCATGGGTCTCGTCTGCGGACATACTTACATGGCTGGGAGACCCCCCCGGTATAGAACCCACCCAAGTTTCTGACCCCTACCTCCTTCTTAGAATGAAGTCCCAGAAAGGCTTCTCACTATATTTACATAGGGTGCTTTCCACTCATCATATGGTTCACACTTAAGGAACCCGCAGGACCATACCTGACCTAGTGATGTTCCCCAAAAGAGCATTTGGCACCACATACCTTCAGCCTGCTCAGGCCATCACCTGTCCACCATCTCCGATCCCACGCTCCCCACGGTGTTAAACAGTAGTGCCTTGCACCGAGATCGGGCCATTATGTATATACTTTGGTTAATTAAGTTTATTTCTTTTTATCCCTGTTTCCCTCCCCAGTTGGGATACAACCCCCCCTACCCTGTCCAAACATTCAGGCAAAAATGTGTCGTACAAAATGGAACCCTTAAGTCCTCGTTTTGCGAGCAACAGCACACAGTATCTCTCACTTCTCAAGACACCGCCCCTACTGATAGCGCTCTGCCTTATACCATACACTGATAGTCTACTCCCATAATGTCCGAGGGCTCAACATGCCACACAAAAGGCATATGCTACTTCAAGAGGCCCGAAAATCAAAAGCAGACATACTGTGTCTTCAAGAAACCCATTTTCCCAAAGCCAAAATCCTACAATTTGGAATGAAGCATTTTCCCCATCAGTTCCACGCCACGCACATATCCAAATCCATAGGAGTCTCCATATATATACACAATTCAGTAGCCTTTGAACTACTACATACCATCTCAGATGACCAGGGCAGGTACCTGATTGTTGTCTGTCTTTTGAATGACGTACAACATACGGTAGTAAACCTCTACGCACCTAACAAAAATCAGAAAAACTTTTTGACTAGTACCCTCCTAAAAGTGGCAGCTGTAATATAATTCATGAGATATAATTCATGTTCTAGACCCAACTCTAGATACCTCTATGCCCTCCTCCACCAACCGACAGAAATCCCTTAAACCAACTTGCAAAGCCATAACACAACTGTTGATGAAATTCAACCTTTATGACTGTTGGAGATTACTCCACCCCCAGGACAGAGAGTATTCATACTACTCGAGACCTCACAAAACACACTCTAGGATAGATGTAATACTTATATCAGGACCATCTCTCAACCTACTTCAAACATGCCATATAGGTGACATCATATGATCAGACCACGCCCCAATACTCGCTACATTCAGGGACGACTTCACTTTTAGAGGTTGCAACCCATGGCGACTTAACAGAACCATTTTACATGATGACAAATTCAGCTCAGAAATGGAAGTAGAACTTAAACACTACTTCTCTGAGAATGAGACATCAGGGATGTCCCCAGCAGTGATATGGAGAGCCCATAAGGCCGTAATGCGTGGGTTGTTTATACGAAAGGCCTCTTTTCTCAAACGGACCTCCCAAACTAAATACCTAAATTTATTAAAGAAATTGAGAGACGCTACAGCGTCCCACCTTCTCCACCCAAACTCAGGAGATGCTGCAATCATCGCCCAAACCCAATCAGACCTCAATGACATTAACATAGCTAACACAACCTGAACGCTCCAAAAACTGAAAACCAAAGAATATTGCTTGGGTAACAAAGCCAGCTCACTCCTGGCCACCCGGCTCAGAGACGTACAAGCAGGGGCGTACCTAGAGCATTTGGCACCCGGGGCGGATCCTGTGCTTGGCACCCCCCCCAAAAAAAAAAAAAAAAAAAACCTGTAAAAAATGTTAAAGGTTTTATTTCTTTTATTTTTACAATTTGTAAACTTTGCAAAACCGCTGTCAGCCCCTCCTACAAAACCCTTGTCCTGCCCTGCCCCTCCTACAAAACCTCTGTCCTGCCCCTTCTACAAATCCTGTACTGCCCCATCTACAAAACACCCGCAACCCCCTTCCACAAATCCCCTGCTTATCCCCCCTTATAAAGACTCCTGTGCCAATACAAAACCCCCACCCCCTTCTACAAAATCCCTGCAGCCCCACACACACATTTACAGGCAGACAGTCACACACTCAGTTACAGACAGACAGTCACACATCACACATTTCCTCCGTGCGGCCAGTTTATCAGCTGTTTGCTTGAGTGAGCTGTACTGGCCGCACGGCACCCTAACTACCATGGGACACTGTGCGGCCACAGCTCACACAGCCCCCTCCAGCCAGGGGCGGTACAAGGATTTTTGCCGCCCTAGGCAAAAGTAAAGTTTGCCGCCCCCCACGTGACATCACAATGCCCCAGCCATATGATTTGCCATGTTAACTAACGCCAGTGCTGCAGTGCCGCCGTGTTTACATTAAAAGGCCTGCAGGGACAGGCTATAGACACCAGAACCACTACATTAAACTGAAGTGGTTCTGGGGACTATAGTGTTTCTTTAATGTGAGGTAAATTAGAGCTTAGTGCCACGAATAATATACTAGATTGCCTACTTACAACCAGATGAGGATGATGATGGGCTCTGGCTGCAGTCTGGCTCCACTGGTCTGGTGCAGAACAGGCTCTCTGGAGGCGGTTTGTAACTGTGGTCACAAAAATCAATGTTCTGGGAGAACGGGAAGCAGCTCCATTTTTTGGGGGTGCTTTACACAGCTCAAGGTCTGGGTCCCAGGGTCCACCTTCATGTTCCACCAATGAGTTTGTTCACAGGGGGTGGAGTGTGTAGGGGGATGTCCTGATATGTGTGTAAGGAATGCATTGTGTGAAATTGTGTTTGTATGTGTAAGGACTGCAAGGTGTGTTTCTGTGTATGTATGGGATGCATTGAATGTGTGTAAGGGGTGCATTGAGTGTGTGTAATGAATGCATTGTGTGTTTCTGTGTGTGTAAAGGATGCATTGTGTGTAACGGTTGCATTGCTTGTGTATGTGTGTCTGTGTGTGTAATGCATTGTGTGTTTTTCTGTGTGCAAAGGGTGCATTGTGTGTATGTGATGAATGTCAATCTCTCCTCCCGCTCCAATTTCCTTCTCCTCCTCCCAATTTCTCTTTCTCACCCCCCTCCTAATTTCTCTCACCCCCGCTCCTATTTTCTCTCACCCCCCTCCTTTCTCTCTCACCCACCTTATTTCTCTTTCTCACACCCCCCCTTATTTCTCTTTCTCCTTGCTTATTTCTCTTTCTCACCCCCTTATTTCTCTTTCTCTCTCCCCCCTCATATATCATTTTTATAACTTACTCACCCCATTTTCTCTTTTTCTCACCCCCCTTACTCTTTCTCACCCCTTATTTCTCTTTCTCACCCCTTATTTCTCTCCCACCCCTTGTTTCTCTCACTTGCTTATTTCTCTCTGCCCCCTTTATTTTTCTCCTCTCACTTGCTTATTTCTCTCACCCCTTATTTCTTTTCTCACCCCTTGTTCTTTTCCCCCTTATTTCTCTTTCTCACCCCCCTCTTATTTCTTTTTCTCACCCTCTCACTTATATCTCTCACCCCCATTTCTCTCTCTCACCCCCTTCTTTCTCACCCCCCCTCTCCCCTTCTCTCTCACCCCCCCCTTCTTTCTCACCCTCCTTTCTCCCCCTCCCCCCTACCTCCCTGTAGCGTGGCCGAGCCCTGTATAGTCCGCGGGTACAGGGAGCTTTTGTTTCCTGTACCCGGCCGGACCCAACGGGAAGTGCACCTCGGTGCACTTTGATGAATCGACCTTATCATTTAACTCTCTATTACCGTCGGCCGGACCATGCTGCAGTGAGGGAGCTGACAGGAGCGTGCCCCTCCTGTCAGCCTCTCCTCAGGCTGCGCCCGGGCGGTGCGGTCCGCCCTCATGGGGACGCACCGCCCGGGCAAAGCTGCAGCCGCCTGAGGCTCACTACAGAGCGCTCGGGCGGCTGCAGCATGGGGGGGGCGGCGGGGCTGGTCATGGCACCCCCCACCCGGCTGGCACCCGGGGCGGACCGCCCCCCCCGCCCCCTCCTTAGTACGCCACTGCGTACAAGCACAAACCAAAATAGCATACCTTACTTCCCACGACGGACAGAAAATAATTAAACCACAACAAATCAGTGAACTTTTCGCTGATTTTTACAGCAAACTCTATAACCTAAAAGATGATGCTACAGTACACCAGCCCACGAAGGGAGAAATCTCTACTTTCCTAGACAAAGTTAGCTTACCTATACTCTCAGAGTCCCAACAGAAATTCCTGGCTGAACCCATCTCACAAACAGAGGTACTCAAGGTTATACAGAATTTGCCATTAAATAAAACCCCAGGCCCAGACGGACTGCCGAATACATATTACAAGAAGTTCTCCTCCATACTCGCCCCCCGGCTAACATCACTCTTCACTTTTACCACAACACAAGAGAACATACCGCCAGGTATGCTCACGGCCAACGTGGCCACCCTACCCAAACCCGGCAAACCACCAACCCAATGCGCAAATTTCAGACCGATCTCCCTATTGAATTCGGACGTGAAGATCCTGGCCAAAGTCTATGCCAATAGAATGACATCCATACTGCCGACCATAGTGCACTCTGACCAAGTTGGCTTTGTACGAGGCAGGCAGGGAGCTGACGGCACACGGAAAGCACTCGCGTTACTACACACCATGCACAGACGCTTCCCCAACAGCCTCCTTTTGTCCTTAGATGCTGAGAAAGCCTTTGACCGTCTGCACTGGTCGTTCCTGCAGGCGGTCCTGGTCAAATTTGGCTTCCCATCACATTTTATTTCCATGATCAAATCATTATACAGCAACCCTGAGGCCCGGGTCTTCACGTCTGGATTCCAATCACGGCCTTTT